AGATCTTAAATTGTATTATAAAGCAGCAATCATCGAAACTGCTTGGTACTGGCTAAGAAATAGACTGGTGGATCAGTGGAATAGGTTAAGTATGCAAGACACAGTAGTCAATGACTATAGTAATCTATTATTTGATAAACCCAAAGACCCCAGCTTCTGATATAAGAACCCACTCTTTGACAAAAACTGCTGGGAAAACTGGAAAAGAGGATGGCAGAAACTAGGCATAGATCAAAATCTCACACCATATACCAAAATAAAGTCAAAATGGGTTCATGATTTAGATATAAAGGCTGATACTGTAAGCAAACTGGGAGAGCAAGAAATAGTTTACCGATCAGATTTATGAAGAACAGAAGAATTCATGACCAAACAGGAGATAGAGAACATCATGAAAAGCAAAATGGAAAACTTTGATTACATTAAATTGAAAAGTTTTTGCACAAACAAAGCCAATGCAACCAAAATTAGAAGGAAGGTAGAAAGTTGGGAAAGAATTTTTACAACCAGTCTCTCTGATAAGGGCCTCATTTCTAAAATATATAAAGAATTAAGTTAAATTTATAAGAATACAAGTCATTCCCCAATTTGATAAATGGTCAAAGGATATAAACAGGCAGTTCTCAGATGAAGAAATTAAAGCCATCTATAGTCATATGAAAAAATGCTCTAAATCACTATTGATTAGCAAAATGCAAATCAAAACAACGAGGTACCACATCACACCTATCAGATTGGCCAACATGACAAAACAGGAAAATGATAAATGTTGGAGAAGATGTGGGAAAATTGGAACACTAACGCATTGCTGGTGCAGTTGTGAAATGATCCAACCATTTTGGAGAGCAATTTGGAACTATGCCCAAAGGGCTATAAAAATGTGCATACCTTTGACCCAGCAAAAGCACTTCTAGGGCTATATCCCAGAGAGATCATACAAATGGGAAAAGGACCCACATGTACAAAAATATTTATAGCAGCTCTTTTTGTGGTGGCAAAGAATTGGAAATTGAGAGGATGCCCATTGCTTGGGGAATGGCTGAACAAGTTGTGGTATATGAATGTAATGGAATACTATTGTGCTGTAAGAAATGATGAACAGGCTGACTTCAGAAAAACCTGGAAAGACTTGTATGGTCTGATGCTGAGTGAAGTGAGCAGAACCAAGAGAACACTGTACACAATAACAGCCACATTGTGTGATGACTAATATTGATAAATTTAACCCGTCCCAGCAATACAAGGATCTAAGACATCTCCAAAGGCCTCATGATGGAAAATGCTATCCACATCCAAAGAAAGAATTATGGACTTTGAATGCAGATCGAAGCATACTATTTGCTATTTTTTTTTTCGTCTGTTGAGTTTTGTTTCCTCTTTCTGGTGGATTGGTTCTAATTCTTCCTTACAACATCACTAATGTGAAAGTATGTTTAATAGGAATGTATATGTATAGCCTATATCAGACTGTGTGCCATCTTGGGGAGGGTGGTGGGGAGGAAGGGGGAGAAACATTTTAAACTCAAAAGCATATGGAAGTGATTGTTGATAAATCAAAATAAACTAATAAAAAAATGTTTTCCCCAAGCTACCAGTTTGATAATGCTACTGAAAAAGGAAAATTAATTCTATTATTTTCTTCTATGGTAAAGTACTTTAATTTCTGATGGACCTAAGAGGAATCCAGACAACACTTAAGATAACTTCTATTGCTGGGCATTATTTATTCTTACAAAAGAATATATCTGAATGTATATAGATAAATTTTTCCTGGAACTAAACTTAAGTAGGAGTTTACCAGGTGGGTTCTGATATAGAGACATTAGATAACATAGCAGAGAAGGTCTTTGATGAGTTTTACAAAAGACAGTAACATTGTTTAAATGTTTGATTCTTATGGTAACTCAACGAAGTTGTTTGTGTGTGTGTGTGTGTGTGTGTGTGTGTGTATGTTTATGTAAGATGGTACCCCTCTACAACTTAGCACACAGGCTTTGTTGGTTGTAGTGGTTGAAAAAAATCTGATGGCAAAACCTCTGGTGTGTCCATTTTAAATGGGCTGGTCTTTGAGTAACAAAGCTCATCTCACTAGACCTGCATGCAAAGCTTTTAAATTGACAGAATTTGGACTGTGTTGCCATAGATGTTGAGAATCATAATAATCACCATTTGCATAGGCCTTTAGAGTTTTCAAAGTGCTTTATATAATCTCATTTGAGACTTAGAGTCCTTTACCTCATAATAGGCCAGCTAAGTAGGCCCTTTGTGGAGGCTGATTTCTAATCATTTAATTCAATACAGAAATTGATCTTGGAGGATTTAGAAAAATGAATAGCTACCATGTCCATTAGACTGACACTCTTAAATATCAACTGTCTTTAATGGGCCTTTCACAGCTGCTGGGTGTCCATTGATTCATAATTAAATTCTCTAACAAATTTGCAGATAGTTTTTTATTTCTCAAGGCAAGGACAATATGCTTTGGATACCAGACATGAGGTAGTTACTCTTATCATGCTGCTATTTTAAGTCTAGCCAGAACTCTTACTCAAACAAAAGACTAATCTATTTCAGCATGTGTAGGCAGAAGAAGTAGGCCTGAAAGTAAACCTAAAACTTACTTAGAAAAAAAGCTCAAATTCTTAAGTACTTGTACAATTATGTGGTTAAGACCCGGGAGTTCTACAACTCTTCTGCAGTAAAGAGATAACCTTAGTTTGAAGGATGTTTTAAAAAGCAAGTGTTACTGACTTGTTACTTGCCTTATCTATAAGAGAACTTCAGTATGGCTATTATGGAATGTCTGATTTTAACTAAAATCACATCTTGTGGAGCCTGCCCAGCTTATGTGTTAGTTTCATATGTAATTCAAAATAAGCAAATTAATTGAGCTGGTAAATCTTATTTAAGATAGTCTACTTAAATGTTGTAAGATCCCTACCAAATAGCAATTGTGGTTTTGATATAACTAAAGAAAATTTTTCTTTTAAACAGTACAGACAGCCAACTGCTTAAGCCTATTTTTAGCTGAAAGAATAAAACCAGGTCATTTAGCATAGAGGAGGATGCTTATCTTCCTGGCTGCTATAGCAGGATGACATTCTTATATCTAATTAGTTTACTTAGTTGTTTGGATGTAAATGATGAAGTAGGATTAGGACACAGCTAACCTAAAATTTTGAGAAATTAGTTTTTATCCTAACCAACATGGGGCAAATGCTGAGCAATGCACAAATGTTGTTTTCATTTGTAAATGAGTCACATGGATGTTGGTAACAGTTTATATAGCATACCACTAATCACAATGAATAAAATAAAAATAACCTCTTGCTGTGGAAGGCTGTTCTTGGAAAATCACAGTATCTCAGAACTGGAAAAAACTTAAAGGAATTCTAGTTTGACTTCCCACCCAACACACACACACACACACACACACACACACACACACACACACACACACCCCACCCCACCCATTTATAATACCTCTGACAGTTTCTATTTAAGTCCAATGACAGGAAATTTGCTTATGACTACAACTACTTGAAACTTAGGTAGCCCTTTAAAGTTTGCACCAAGTTTTACAAATATGATTGCATTTGAGCCCCACAACCGCCCTGTGAAGTAGGTTGTTCTATAGGTATTATTATTCCCATTTTAGAGACTCCAGCCCTGGGCCTCCTAGCTCTGAGACGGGAACCTTTGCATTACCTTGCTGGGACCTTCCTTGATTCCACTAATCCCTGGGATCCCCGACTCTAACAGAAGTAAACCTTATTTTGCCAGGATGAAGACCTCCATTCCACTTCCAGCAGCCTGCTTGCCATGCCCTACATGTTACCCTTCTGCCTTGTTCCCTGACTGCTAGCTACCTTCTAGCTCCTTTTTATGTGCTATCTTCCCCCATTAGAATGTAAGTTCCTTGAGGACAGACATTGTCCTGCTTGCCTGCATCTATCCCCAGTGCTTAACATGGAGACTGGCATATAGTCAGCATTTACTAAATGATCCAGGAGTGACAGAGAATTTAATGATCATCTAATCCAAAGCCCTCATTTTAAAGGTAAAGAAACCAAAGCCCAGAGAGATGAAAGAGTTGACCAAGGTCACAAGACAGCAAGTGGCAGAGCTGCAGTTCTAACCCAGATCTTCTATCTGCCACTCCAGTGTTCCTTCCCCTACCTCACAAAATCGTTCCCAGTTCTCTATTGAGAGGTAAGCAATGTGTGCCCAATCCCTCCCTCATGCTGATGAGGGACCTGTAAGCATTTTAAGATTATCCTGTGCTCCCTTAGCCATGTTCATCTCCTGGTTTCCCAAGCATCCTTCAAGTCTCAGCTAAAACCCCACCTTCTATAAGAAGTCTTTCCTGATCCCCTTAATGTCAGTGCCTTCCCTCTGTTGAAGATCTCCAATTTATCCTGTGTACAGTCTGCTTGTACGTAGTTGTTTGCACGTTACTTCTACTATTAGACTGTGAGTTCCTTGACAGGAGGGACTGTTTTTGCCTTTCTTTGTATCCTTAGCACTTAGTACAGGGCTTGGCATGTAACAGGTACTTAATAAATGCTTGTTGCCTCAACTTCTCTAGGCTACTCATCTCCAATTCCCTTGCCTATTCCTCAAATGGCATTAATTGCAGATCCCCCTAACCATTTCAGAGGCACTGTCATTTTCTCCGTTTGTCTTCTAGTAATGCAACACAAAAAAGCACTAGTATTTTTTGGCTACTGCATCACATTACTGGCTAACAATAAGTCTGTGATGAACTAAAACCTTTAGGTCTTAACCACATTAACTGTCACACCAAGTCTCTTGAATTACTGATTTACGAACTATGCTCATCATGGTTTTATTAGCTATGTTGCCAGTGGTATCAGTTTGAAAATGGTGCTTGTGTTATGGAATCATGTTTTCTCAATCATTAAAAAAAATCATCCATATTTTTCTTATCACCCAAAAATGTAAACCAGAAGAACACAAACTGAACAATCATTACTTACTCATTAGCTTTCAAGCTAGCTGTGGCTCTGATGATCATGTAGCAGAGAGTGAAGGCGCTGAGGAGGCCAAAACTGGCAATAATAAACCATTCTTCTGTTGACAAAGGAAAGGGAGGCAATCACTCGTGGGAGAAGGCTTATGTCAAATCGATGTCAATATTTCTCTCAAATGCCATTGGTGGAGGCAACGCAGGTGTAAGCCATAACTGGCACAAGGAAGTGTAGCAGAAGAAAGTTTGCCAGAAAGTTACTAACTGGAAGAAGTTGTGGTGAGAAATACAAGGGGAAAAGGAAAGCAGGGCCCAGCCATTTCTGTCTGCCAACACCCTGAGGCTTGTGAGAAGGATGTAGTCACCAAACAGTGTGAAGTGAGAAACGTAAAATAAGAAAAAATATTCGTGGAAATAGATTTTTGTTAATTACAACTAAGTCAAACTGTCCAGCCAAGTTTCCGATTTTTTCCCTCTTCGGTGTGAAAACTCCATGCAGTCACCCCCACTTAGAGAAGACTTCAGCTGCAGAGAAAAACAATTCTCAAGAGCGTGGTCCACGGAGACTCCGGGCAGTCTGTGGCCTGAACTTTCCTTAGCTTTCATGATGACATTATGATAATCTCTATTATTTTCCCCTCCATATGCACACATTTACACTATTGAACAAAACCAACACAACATCTTGGTGTTTCATCAAAAGCAGTTGTCATTCATCCTGATTATTTTGGTGAGGTTTTTTTTTTTTTTGTCATGGGAAGTAGAAACTGATAAGGCAGATAGCCTGAAAGATAGCATGTAAATATTAAAAAAAATGAAAACCACCAGTATACGATTACAGAGTTGTTCAGATAATCAATATGTGAGGATTTTCTTTAAGCCATTTAATAATTTTCTTAATCTTGTAAGAGTCTGCATTTTATTGAAATGATATTCTAATACTCTCATAAAGCAGAGCCTCCCTATACATCTAGAGGCTATCAGAGGAGAGCCAGTCCAAATCAGTAAAAAGTTTCAAGCACGACATTCTCTTAAAGAAATGATGCTTTATTATTTTTAAGGACATACATTATCAGGCCTGGGCTAAAAAGATGTTGCTTGGTATAGGGCTCCTTGGAGACCTGCTCTAATGAATGGAAAATAAAGATCTGGGATGAGAATATCAATTGTTTGTATGTAAAAGTTGGTTCTATGGTATTGGATGACGTTCATAATATTTTTGGTTAAACATTTTAAACATTCTTTCAAAATTTTTGTTTATATTATTAAACTGCTCGATAGACTCTACAGAAAGGAAAACTACCACTTAGCTCTTGTAATTCACTTGAAGCTAGTAAATATTAAGTGCCTACTGTGAGTATTCCAAATTAGTAAAGTGAATTAATGAAGTTTTAGCGGATTGCTAATTCCCATTTTTTCACTAGTTAATTTCTGAAATTAGGAAAAGCTAGTTTGATAATCTTAAAAATGAAACAGTAATATTTAATAATACCAAGGAAATTAAGAACTTTTTTCTATGACTTCTGCATATGTAAAATATATAGATTTTAAGAGTTGTGATTCTGTTTAAATTACTTGATTCTAAATGAATGATACTCATTCGTGGGGCACAAATGTACTAAAAAAAAATCAGCCCAGATAAAGCAAATTTGTCTGTAGCTGTATCCTAATACAGTTGTATGATAGCAGCACCACAATGTACCATGAGCATACTTCATCTCTATCCTGCACAGAATGATTTCATGAAAAAGTACCACCTACAAAGCCACAGACTTTTGGATAAACCTTTGTCTTTTTTTTTATTGCTACTGGATCAGTGGCAATTAAAAAAATATAGACTAAAAAAAACCTCCTGCATACGATAATATAAGAAACAGGAAAAACAAAACAAAACATGCAATCCACTAATCTAGTAGTTTGTGATAAAAACTGAGTCTGGCTCCTTCTTTGTGATGGATGAATAAAGGATGCATCAATATCAGGCAATGATACTACAAAATGATAGTGACAGTAAAAAAAAAACCTGGAACTAGGTCTTATAGTGAGACATGTTACCAAATCAAATGGCACACATGCTTTATGGATCTGGATAGTTTAATAAAAAAAAAAGGCTTTGCTTTCTTCCTACAGAAGCGACCATCACATTGTGCTGACAGGCCAAAAAGAGCAATAGTCCTCACTAAAAAAAGTACACTCAACATACAGGGGAATATTATGAAATGTGCAGAGGGAAGTAGAAGTTGTTCATAAAAATTATGTGTAAGGAGTAGGGTAGGAAAGTGGCTGTCTTGGGACATGGATAAGTTTTTTGTGATGTCAAAATCAAATTCTTTGCTGTTCTCTGAAAATTTGCTTGTGGCTGTGACCATCTCGCTAACATTTAGGAAACCAGGAGATGTACTCAGCTCTGCTCAGTTGCCCAGCAGACTGCCCTTTCTTTTTCTACTGAGAGGGTCTTATAGAGAGCTAGATCAAAGGGTGTATTGCTAAGGGACCTGTACCACTTCAAGTCTTCTAATTTGGAGACTTTAATATCAAGCCAAAAAAGAAAGAAAGGAAAATAAATTAGCATAAAACATCAAAGCAAGAAACAACAAAGACTTTGCTAACAATTCCCAAAGATACTGAGAACTCATATTACATAAGCTCAAAGTCTAGACTCAACTCTTCACTGATGGGTCTTCTTTTAAAATTTATTTTTGGAAATTTGAGGTAACGATGCTAATATTTATAAACCATAACGGAAAAAAAGGAGGCTGGTGAGAGTTTGAAGTCATTTTCAGTTCTAATAATATTTTTTCACAATTTATTTTGAGAAATAATGATTTCAAAACATCAACTATTCATATATGTATAGAACTTTACAACTTCTAAAGCACTTACAATACATATTAGCTCATTTGACCCTCACAACAGCCCTGTGAGGTAGGAAGACAAGGTATTTTTCTTTCCATTGATGGGTGAGGAAACTGAGGTTCAGAAAAGTGAGTTGCCCAAGGTTAATATGTGGTAGAGCTGAGACTTGCCTTCAGGCCTTTTGACTAAGTCTACCATTCTTTCCACTACATCATTCACTCTGCCTCATATTTATAAACCAACGATTGTTAGGGACAACTAAGACTCCTACATTCAATACTAACACAATTAATTTCTGTATAGACTCAAAACTCCCATGGATTCAAGTGGGTCTTAAAATCATGTTATGCAAAGCATACACAGAGGATCTGTTTCAATGAAAGCATCTAAAAATTCCTCAAGTGGTTGAAGACATAGAGATATGTATTCAAGAAGCCCCAAGAATACCTGAATTGTCTTGCAGGGTTGTGCTATGTTAAGCTGAGGTTCCTGAACAGTGAAGGAAAAGCACTCAGCGCTTGAAGTGAAAGATTACCACTTACTTGTTACTGCAATGTTGATTTCTCCTGTTCGAGGAGTGAGCTCCCCATCCTGAGGAAGTTGAGACATCCCAGAAGTGCGAAGTGGCTCAAGGCCAAGGGAGCTGTCACTGGCAAGGTCACCAAGTGCTGATCTTCGATTAGCAGCTTGGCTTCTGGTAAGCCTTTCCATGTCAAAAGCTACATTATCAGTACATGGCAAATTTGGCTGAAAAATATTTTCAGATTAAAAATTACATATATTTATTTTTATAAATATGAATAAAATAATAAGATTAAAGATAAGAAATCTTAAACAGGGTTTTAGAGAATCAGTTTCTAAGTTATCTGGTGGGAAAAATATTCTCCCACCAACTTTTTTCATGTTTTCATCATTCTTTCCTTAAGAGAGCTTTGAAAATAATGAATTCTTTTAAAAGACCTAAAAATTTTTCAACAAAGGCACATTACTACAAAGTAACATCGCTATGCATTGCAGCACTGATAAAATTAGTTACTACACCTTTATAAGATGGTTACAGGCTTTTTTGGGGAATAAAACTAGAGTTCTGGCCCAAAGGTAGATTAAAAAGAAGCTGGAGTCTTCATTACAGAGCTGAAACCCAATGTGAAAAGCAAGAATTATACTAATTTGGCTAAATTATTTAGTTTGGTGGTGAATAATAAAGTGTTATTTAAAATATTCAAATTCATTCTATGATTTCTTTATCAATATAGATTTAAAGTAATGATTCATTTAGGGTGGTTAGACAAATACAACCATCCAAAACAAAAATTATAATGTGAAAAAGAATTCTGAGTGAGAAAAATAGCTGGTCCAAAGTCAAGGTAGTGGAATGAGAGACGTTGGAGTCAGGCAAGACCGGAGGCTGAATCCTACCTTTGAGACTAGCTTGTGTGAACATGCTTTCTGAGCATCAGTTTCTTAATTCTTAAAACAGGGATAGCAGCACCTGTAGGAGCTACCTCACAGGGTTGTTGTAAGGATCAAATGCAAAAAATATGTGTAAAGTGCCTTCCCAACCATAAAGTACTATATAAGTGGACTATTATTATTATTGTTATATTATACTGAGCTTGTAGTCCATGAATTTCTGAATTTCACAAAAACTGCTGTCTATTTCTGTCTACCCCATCTTGTACCTATGCATTTGATTTTTTTAAACCTAACTGTATCATTTTACATTAATCCCCATTAAATGCCATCTTATTGGATTTGGCCTATCATGCAAATGATCTAAAAATACCTTTTTAGATCCCAAATTTGTCATTCAGTATGTTAGGAATCCCCTATCAAGCTGCCTATCATCTGAAAGCTTAGTAAGTATTTCAACTATATCTTTATCCAGACCATTGATTAATATGTTGAACAGAGTAGGGTCAAGAATAGATAGAGTCCCGGGGCATTCCACTAACAATCTCCAAGAACACTGACATCAATCCATCATTACTATTTTTGGCATAGTCACTTAATTTATCTAACTTTACTTTCAGTTTACATCTTTCCATTTTACCCACAAGAATATCATGACATCCTGTCAGATCTCATGGAAATCCAGATATCCTATATCTAAGGTATTTACCTAACTCTAGTAATTCTGTCAAGAAAGGGAATGAGGTTAAATTGGATATGATATATATTTAATGAATTCAAGCTAGTTCTTAGTGCTTTTCGATTCCTTTCTTAGGACTCACAGACTATTCTTTAATAATACATTTTAGAATTTTGGGAGGAATTGAAGTTAAATTACCAGCCCCTGGTTTGAAGAATCCATTTCATTATTTAAAAAAAAAAAAACAGTGCACTTGTAATGTACTGTGACATAATTTTAAAAATATTATCTGTAGTGGCCCAACAATCACACATCCACAAGTTTTCACTTCTCTGAGGTATCTGATTCTGATGACCTAAATGCATTGGGGTCAACCAGGTAGTTTGGATTGCTTGTGAACATTTTTATTTTATATGTTTCATTGCCTTTTCTCCCTCATTTGTTGTCATCCTCCATAGTCATCCTAATTTTCTTTTCGCTCTTCCTCCCCCTCTCCCCCAAGGTACTTAAAGATTATTTGCTGTCCTCAATATTCACTGCAAACCTTAACTGATTCTGGGCTTTGGCATTCTTAATATTCATAGAAAACCATGCTACTTGTTAATAAAGCCTTAGTTTTCTGTCCATGCATTAATTTTCTATACACACTTTTCAGAAATGTGTTTTGGTTGATGAGTTCCTGCTGTAGCTACACATATCTCTTTGGCAACTCACCATTTTCTTCCTCAGATCCATCTGTTTGTTTTATCAGAATTTTGTTCTTAAGAACATCTCTCTTGAGCCAACTTTGACAGAATTTTAGGACGCAGGATCCTATCTGAGCTCTTTGAAATTGCCATTACCTGGCCATCCCCAAGCCACAGTGCCTGGTTCCACCAGAATTCATACTTATTCCCTTGGAACCCTGGGCTCTGGTGAGCTTTCATCTTATCTTACCAGGTCTTGGGTCTATAGTTCCACTTCCTGGAATTATGCTGCCAGGAAGTCTAACCTCCAGCTTCCTCCCCTTTCAGACCTTGTACTCCTGCCCCTGAGCAGGACCCTAGGCACTGATTGGTAAGCTTTCACTTTTTCTTACTGCGTCTTGGGCTACTATATAACTTCTTGGTTATCTCCAAGTCATGATAACCCCCACGCCCCCTTCCTTTTTGCTTTCCAATTTGTGTTTCTCCTCTACACAAGTTGTCTTCCTCATTAGAATATAAGTTCTTTAAGGGCAGAAACCATTTTGCTTTCTTTGTATTCCCAACCCTCAGCATAGTTCCCTAATAGCTGCTTATTCATTTATTCTTCTAAAACTTAGGGTGAAAGCCAGATGCTTGGCATTTGTTTATCATGAACGTTAAGCTGGTGTGGTTGCTTCCTTCTGAGTTTTTCATCCTTTCTCTTCTGGAAATCAGTAAATTTGTTGGTCAGAATATGGTTTTGTCTTCTAGTCTTTAAAAAATAAAATCAATATTGATGTAAATCAAGAATTTGTAGACTGTTCTATTTTTTTTTAAGCAAAATGAGGTTTTTGACAGAAGACTGATTAATGGCAGCCTCTTGCTGCTACTATTATGCCTCCTTATTTGTGATTTTCCATGAACTCATGCCTGTTTTCCTGGTCAGGTGGCCTTTTACCACAACATTGCTTTTGTTTCTCTCCTTAATTATATTTATGCAAATATTTTCCATTGCCCTTTTCCTTTTTTAGTTTGAATTTTCTCACAAGAGTATACCTTCTTGACATATAACACTATTCTACTATTGCTTTCATTTAATATGTTCACTGTAAATTATTTCCTTCGATTGTCAGATTTTATTCATGAAATCATATAATACCAAGGGTCAGTGATACCTATGAGACTGAATTTCACCTCCTTTCACTAAGATTTCTAGTTCAATCACCTAAACTCTATTAATTTGTACAGACACCTGAAGCCATGAGTATTTTTATTGTCCCATTTCTTGAATATTGTCTTCTCTAAATTACTACACCTTCTCATACCTGCTAGAATAGTTCTTTGTCCTTTTAACATTTCCTTGCAGCAACCCTGTCTGCTTATAGGACTGTGGGTTCTATCAAAAGGGTTCACGAACAAGTAATTTAATATCAGAATTCTCTACACAATGCTTAAATACAATTGTGCAGGTTTGTCACAGTTTCTGAGTACCAAAACCTTTTTGGTTTACTCCTTAAATGAGAAAATGCTCACCAGCTTAGAGCTAAGCTCCCCACTGGAGACTTTCTTTCAAGGTTATGTCAAATCATTAATGGCTGCTTTTAATGTCTATTTATTTCACCTAACTGTATTGTCTAGGTCATGGCACTTCATCATGTTCATGAGACAAGCATAATAGACTTTGAAGAATGCTTTGCTAAAAATCTAGATAAATTTTATTTATAGCATTTTCAAGTAATGGATTACCTGTACCTAAAATTCGTCTTCCCATTTTATTTGCTGCTTTATGTTTATATGCTGACCATGGTCTAACTCAACATACAAAAATGTTTCCTGTGCTAGAAACAAGAAAGACCTGTTTGAACTGTTTTATACTTAAGAAAAACAAATTTATTCCTATGTACAAACTTGCAAAGCCTGCATAACTGGTTTCTTAGATATCCAAGGCCAATGGGTTTCCACAGATGTTACAAGAGATGGGCTCCTACCCTCCAAACATGACTGAGCAGCTGGAGGAAATAAATATTGAATAACTTGACTGTTAACCTAAAAAATATCTTGCTTGTACCACAATACTCTGATCTATCAGCCCAACTCCTAAAAAAAAAAAAAAAAGGAAATAAGGCTAGTCTGGCACAACTATTTAAGCTATGCTGGCTTTTTGTAATCATTTCATCTTTATCTGGATGTTCACTAACTATCCCATTAATGAAATATTCTAGGATCCTTTCAAGAATCAAAGTTAAACTCACTGTCTAATAGTCTGCAGACTTCATTTTCTTCTCATTGAGACATGTTCTTTTCCAATCCTCTGGTACTATCCATAGCTCTCCAAGATGTTTCAAAGATCACCTCACAGCTTAGTGATCATATCTTGCAGTATCCTACTGTAGTTCATTGGATCCAAGACACTTGAATTTATCAAGGGCTGCTACCTGCTTTCTTAACATTTCCTTGTTTATTTCAGTAATTTAACTATTATTACCCATTTTAATTTTGTCTGTTTTAGTCCAAACACAATTTTCCTTGAAGAGAAAACAAGCAAAGTTGTCTTCTCTCCATTTAAATTGTCATCATTCTATCTATTCAAAGCAGCAATTCTACCTCTCCTTTGATCCTTTTCCCCGCCAAAGCCACCCTCCCCTGACAATTTTATTATCCTCATCTTTCCTTGCCAGTCTTGAGTCACTCTGAGCACTGGCAGGCCAAGATACCTTTCTTTAAGAACCATGTCACACTTTTATCTTCAACTTCCTTTACCTGCCTTTGATTCCATCTTCTGTACCAACATTTTTTCAACCAACAGTGGTGTATGAATTAATTTGGAGAAAGTAAAATAATTAAATTTACTTATATACAATAAACCTTACAAATTAAAAGATTTTTCAATATATACTATGTCCTTTTGCTGCAACTACTTTTTTTTGGTAACAATATTTGGCACTGAATTCACAAGACTTTAGCACATACTCTTTAATTCTTTATCATGAAATCACACTTAGTACACTGGAGATACTAAGTATATTTTTGAGGAATAGTCCATTTTCCCAAGTCTAGCCTTGATTAAATCCCACAGATTTCCAAAGTGGTTTAAATCAGGCAAACTCCCTGGCCACTAAAGCATGTTTATCTCCACCTCTTGCATCTTAACCTTTCATGACATGTCATGGTGCAAGGCTGTGTTGCTGTACTCTATCTCCATTTGGGAATTTCTATAATAATCCTGCTTCTCAATACATCATTATATTTAACTGGAAACAGTACTTACGGGCCAACTGGAAGCAAAAAAAATCCCCAAAGGATTTTTTGGGTGGATGTTATACAATCTGATGAAAATGCCCAGCTCTTAAAGATTCATGACAACAACTTGTTATAAAAGCCTTGAATGAAAAAGTGAATTTTATCAGTAAAAATGACCTTTCCCCAAACTTTAGTACTCTCATCTTTGTACTGTTATATCTACGACCACGGTTTTTTTCCTTCGCAGTAATAGTTGGCAGCTGTTTTATGAGTCTTCTTGCTGTTTTTCCAACTCTAATAAGCCTATGTGACATTGTAAAGGAATCAATAACAACCGCTCCAACTGCTAGGTCCTTCCAAAGATTTTTGCTTGTTTTCTGAGGTTTAATTTTTTTACAGCAATACTTTGTCATTTATTGGCTGTATTTTTCATTTTTGACCATACCTTCCTTTAAAAAGTTTTAGTGCAAATGGGTTTGAATGATCCTTGAAACACTTGATTTCCTCATACCAACAGCCACTGCAATACCTCTAACAACCAATGAAGTGTACTCTTTAAAAAGCTCCAACTTTTGCAAGTTTCCTCAGAATAACATCCAATCTTTAAGATCAAAGAGGTGGGACAGCTAGTTGGTGCAGTGGATAGAGCACTGGCCCTGGAATCAGGAGGACGTGAATTAAAATACAGCCTCAGACATTATTAGCTGTGTGACCCTGGGCAAGTCACTAGCCCCAATTACCTCCAAAAAAAAAAATCAAAGAGTTAAAAACATGAGATCAATGGCACAAAATCCAGCACTTAACTGATAGAGAGCTAACTGCAAGTAGGGAAATCAGCTCAATCTTGTTTCACTTGGTCAAGGACAAATGTCTCGTGACAACCTGGTGTCAGTAGAAGCAAACATGCATGACTGTTGCTTTCACAAAATGAAACCATATCAAAATCACTGTTTGTGCCAAGTAATTTGTATACCACTGTAAGCTGTTGATGAGTTCCCTGTGCATCCACATTGGTCTCTTGAGACAACTCCCCCTTTCTGTTCTCATCAGAATTGTTTTTCTTCTTGTCTTCAGAATTTCATCGTTGAAAGCTTTCTATCCCTCTTAGACTGGCTTCTCTTATAGAATTTTAGTCCACAGGATTTCACTTATTCCCTCTGTGAACCCGTTAAAATCTTCTCTCTCCAAATCTAGGTTACATATTAGACTATTCTTGGTTTTCCTCTCCTCTTTTACAAATTCTAGGGTAGAGTGGTCACTTGCTTCTATGGCTCCCATCATTTCTATACCAATAGCCAGTTCATCTTGAATAAAAGCTCCCGTTCTTGGTTACTCTGACTTTTGAAGGATGAAGTTATCACGAAGTCAAGTCAGGCTGCAGTGATTTTTGTAGAGATAGCTTGAATAGATGTCTGGATAATTGAAGTCCCCTACCATTATTCTATTATGCTTCTGTGCTAGGTTTGTGATGTTTCTCAACTTTCTTTCCCTTTTCTGTCTGAGTAGTCTATAGCAGTGATGTCAAACTCAAAAAATACAAAAAAAGGATCCCTGTGAGTTATGAGTTTGAGATCTCTGGTCTATTGTTACTGATGGCAATATCACTTCTATTTCTGCTTCTATTGATATTTACACAAGGACTTTCCCTTGTTCCCACATGGCTCCTGCTTTGGTTCCTGAATTTTCTGACACGAGTACATCTTCTTAACATACAATGCTACTAATACCCTTGCCCCCGCTTTATCAGATTTTTTTTGAATGAAGTATGTATGTGTACACACACACACATGTACATATATGTATGTATAGACACATATCTATAAAATATGTATATATACATATATATCAATCCAGCATCCTGTTCCAGTCATAGATTTCATCCCATCACATCTCAAGTGATACCTTCTCACTTTAAGCTCATCTTGCTTATTACTCATTCTATGGAAAACACTCACCAAGATTTGTATCTTTGTTCCAGTTTTACTTTTTTCTTGATGTCAGATTTAAGAAAGTCACATTTGCCCATTCTGTATTCCAGGCATTCCTGCCCTTTTCTTCTTCAAAGTGATATAATAGCTGTCAATGCTCTTCGGTGAGTATCATGAGATTAACTCGAGCTTTAAGTTACTTGGAAGAAAAGTGCTATGTAAATCTAATTATGCAGTTATGTGATAAACATTCTATTTCCCACTACTTGATGGAAAATTTAGGGATATTAAATGAATTTATCAAATAACTCTTGGAGTTTCCTGGTATGCCATTTATCCTGTTTCCTAAAAGTATCATAACCACTGTCTTCAAATTGAATTAATGAATGTGGAACACTTTTAAAGTACTATACAAATATAAATTATTATGTTAAATATAGAAAAGAATCTGGATACAAGAATCCATTAAGAAACATACCATAATTCCCAAAGCCTTCAAAATGTTCAGTTTGCACATAGGACAAGTACAATGTTCACTAAGCCAGGGGTCCACACAGGATTTGTGAAAAACATGCCTGTTAAATAAAAAAGAATCATATTACAGTAATCATATAGAATTAAACGTTAATAACCAGAAGTCAAATAATTAAATATGCAGTTAACTTTTTTGCTCCTTTTTGGAGAAAAAGGCAAGTCTTAAGAAGAGTAGTGTTAGGCATTCACTAAAGAAAAATTCTCAAGGAAATGTCTTGGGGTCAGAACAAAGGACTATCAATTTCCTTTATCTTCTACATTTGGTTTTGTAAAGGAGAAATGAAGTTCAAAATGATGATAAAAACCCTTTTAGAGAAGAGGCCCACTACTAGAATCAACTGTTGACTAACACTGATGGAATAGGCCCACTAGCTTAGCTGAAGTAGCAGGTCACCATAGGTGAGAGATGGGAAGCAGCTGGCAGCACACGCCAGATAGTTGAAATCCTTCAGTCCTTGACACCAAGCCTAAATGCCTAGGGGATAAAAGGGCCTGCCAAACTACTACCACTGCTTCTAGCCCAGCCCCAGCAGCCATACTCAAGGGGAGAATGGGTTACCATTCACTAGCACCAGCTACTGACCAATTACCACTTTGGGGACAGAGAAGTCGGCCTAGATGAAGTGGCAAGGAATTCTGAGGGAGAGAGAGGAGGGTGCTGCTATGTGCCAGGCAAGTCAAACCACCTTGACTATCACCTCTCCTCAGATGCTGGTGTAGACAGCCCAAGACCCTGAGCCCAAGAGCCCCTGGATTTGTAATGCCCAACAAACCAAGACCCTCTTTCCAGTTTGGCTCTTGTAGGCATTATCAAGGGGAACAAATCTTCTGAAGAAGGGGTTCAACCTCTGTGCTCCCAATACCATCAACCAGTGAACTGCCATGGATGAGCAGGTGGGCCCAAGAGCCCTAGGAACAGTAGCACCACAGACTACCAGTTCTGCTTCCAGTCTGGACCCTGAAGCCATAGTCAAGGAAGTAACTCTTGCGAGCATGCAACCTGGTAACTTCCTCTGCAAGGCGCTGCACCTCCCATTCTCTTACTTTCTTAGTAGCCACAGCTACTGAAGAGCCAGAAAAGCAAATCACCAAAGTTCTTGCCACTGACAAATGATTCAACACCAGAAGCTGATAGCTTTATTAATGGACATAACATTAAAGAAGATCTATTATCATCCACTTTGTTGCTGCACCCTAAGGACCATGGAGCCTCGTCATTTGATTTGCAGCTAAAACTCCTACATGTGTTATCTTCTCTAATTGGAATGTGAGCTCCATGAGAGGAGGAACCATCTTGCTTTTCTATTTGTATTCCCAGAGCTTAGCAAAAATACTCTGCATACACTAAGTGCTTGATGCTTTTCCATTTATAGTCTTGAGATAATTAAAAAGAAAATTCTGAACTTAAACATCAGAAAAGAACATTTCCATATGCAAAACAAAAGGCAAAAGGAGTATTTGATATGAAATCATGAATCTCCACTTCATATAGCTTGCTTTTAAAATACTTAAGAAATAAATCCTACATATTAATTTTTAAAAAATTTTTTTTAGGCAATTGAGGTTAAGTGACTTGCCCAGGGTCACACAGCTAGTAAGTGTCAAATGTTTGGTCTGAGGCCAGATTTGAATTCAGGTCCTCCTGACTTCAGGGCTAGTGCTCTATCCACTGCGCCACTTAGCTGCCCCATCTACACATTAACTTCGAAACTGTCCTGCTTGTCTGTGATTGCTCCTGAATTTCCTTTTGTGCACTGAAAAAATGGGATTTATTTTTTCTGGCATCACTATTGCTAACCTCTTTTCCCTGGTCCTCTCCTACCCTTAAAAAATTAGAGAAGAAGAAAAAGCCCCATAACAAATAAGCATGGTAAAACAAAATGAATCCACACAGTGGCCATGTCTAAGAATGTACATCTTTTTCTGCACCTTGTGTCCATCATCTCTCTGTCAGGAGGTAAGTAATATGTGTCATCACAGATACTCTGGAGACACTGCTAATCCTTCTTTGCTTTCCTATACAGTGTTGCTGTTCTTCTGGTTTTGCTCACTTCCTTCTGCATCTGTTCACACTACTCAGGATTCCCTGAAATCGTCTCTTTTATCATTTCTTATGGTATAATAATGTTCCATTACATTCACATACCACAAATAGTTTAGGCATTCCCTAACAGTCTAAGAGGAATCTGAGGCATTCCTTTAGATTCTAGTTCTTGGCAATATTTTTTTTCTTTTTACTTCTTTTAATCCCTCTCCTTCAAAATCAGGAAGTTTGTTTTGCTTGTGACTATTCTTTCCACAATATTGTCCTTCCTCCCTTTCTTTTCCCACCCCTTTTGTTTCTCCACTGAATCTGATGTATTTTCATACCAAACTATTTATGAGAGTGAGTGCTCAACCCTCTGTTTCCTGTTTCAGATAAAAGTGAGGTTCATCTCTTACTCTCCTTATCCCTTCCTTTCTGTTTGTATATTCTTCCTTCTCTCTGTCTCTCTAATTTTGAGAAACAACAAGTTTTTCCTTCTTTTTACACTCCCCAATTCCTCTCTTTACTCTCTCCCTCTTCCCCAAACCCTCAGCACAGAACCGATCCAACCCTAAGACCTACATTTTTCTTATTTGATTTTATCAATACCATTTGAAGATACTCAGGTTCTGAAGAGACACTTCATTCTTCTCCCCCTCCTCCCAACCCCAGAATGTCAGCACTACATTGTCTGCTTCCAGTCACTTAATTAATTTTACTTTTCCAGGTTTCTCTTGACTCATGTTTGTATTTCACTGTTCTTATGCTCAGCTTTGCAGGGTAAATTATTCTCAGTTGCAAGCCTCTCTTGTCTTTTGGATATATTGTATTTCAAGATGTCTTCTTGTTTAGAGTGGAAATTGTCAAATATTAATGATCCTGACTGAAGGTCCTTGGTACTTGAACTGATTCTTTCTGCTCGCTTGCTTTGATGTGAAAGCCCCGAATTTTAGCTGGGACTTTTCCTTTTGGGGTTCTTTTCAGAAGATTATTGGAAGATTCTTTCTATTTTCTACTTTGTCATTCTGAATATTTATCATTTATGGTTTTGTGAAATACAGTATTTAGGCTTTAAAAAAGAATCATGGTTTTTAAGGTAGCCAATGGTTCTTAAATTATTTTGCCTTCATTTGTTTTCTAAGTCTGTTGTTTTTGATATTAGATAGTAGAATGGAGTAGATTCGATATTGGATAAAGTAGTAATCATTATTATACATGTTTGTTGCAAGGGTTTTGTTTTTCTTTATCAATGGGGAAAGGAAGTGGGAAAAAGAGAAGATAGATTTTTAATTTTAAAAAAGTAGTCATAATAGGTTGATATCTAATCAGAAAGAGGTTGCTAACAGTGAAGATCTATCCTTCACCCTGTGCTATTTGATACTTTGGTTACTCAGATGAAGTCATAAAGGCATACTTTTCAAATATTCAGATGACACAAAATTGGGAGGGGCAGCCAACAGATTGGATGACAGCATCAGGATCCAAAAAGACTTCACCAAGCCAGAATGTTAGGTTATAGTAAATAAAATGAAATTTAGGAAGGATAAATGTAAAGTTCTATACTTGGGTTAAAAAAATCAGTGTCACAAGCACTAGGTGGGGGAGATTTAGTTAGATTATAAATAGTTCCCATGAAATTGATATTTTTCATGAATCATAAACTCTATATGAGTTATTTATATGACATGGCAGCCAAAGAAGCTAATGACATACCAGGCTGCATCCACAGAAGTAGAATCAAGGGAGGTTAATTGTTTCATTATACTTTGTCCTGGTCAGGCCACATCTGGAGCACTATGTTTGTTCTGGGAACCACATTTTAGGGCAAACTGAAGCTTCTCCAGAAAAGGGAAGGCAGAGACGACTGGAGATGTTATATGAGGATTGGTTGAAGGAACTGTGGGCATTCACCCTGGAAAAAAAGATGACTTGGGAAGACATGATAGCTGTCCTCAAATATCTGAAGGGCTGTCATATGAAAGAAGGCTTATATTTGTTCTTGACCCCAGAAGGAAGAACTATGAATAATGGGTGAAAATTAAAACTTTAGACATCATGTAAGGAAAAGCATTCTAACAATTAAAACTATCTAAAAGTAAAATGATCTGACCTAGGAGAGAAATCTCTGTCACTGGAGGTCTACAAGCAGAGGTTAGATGATGATTTGTTAGGAATGTTGTAGAAAGGATTCTTGATCAGGCATGGGTTGGACTGGTGGCCTTTTAGGTTTTTTCTAACACTTAGATACTGTAAATAACACTAAAAATTCATCCTCTAGGGCCAAGTGGAATGATTCTAATTCCTTTTCTATTTGACATCTCTTCAAACACCTGAAGATAGCTTTCATGTTCTTCTAAGCCTTTTCTTCTCCAGGATAAACATCCACAGTTTATAGTGTGGTTTATTTATAGTATGGTTTATGTCACTTTAATCCCTTTAAAAAAAAGACTAATTTATATAGCACTTTAAGATTTACAAAGTATCTTCTTAATCACAAACACTTTATGCTCTGGGGCAAGTTATAATATTCACCAACCTCCAAACCTGTCCCATATTTTCCCACTTCTCCATCTTTTCCCTTTATGTCTCCAAAACCTGGAATGCTCTCATTTCTACTTGTGGCAACATTACCCATCTTTCTCTTCACCCTAGCACCATGCTACCTTCTCTGTGAAACTTCTGATCTCAACTGAAAGTAATTTTTCAGTTATGATCTCCCAATATTTTTTTTTTTTTGGGTGAGGCAACTGGAGTTAAGTGACTTGCCCAGAGTTGCACAGCTAGTGAATGTTATATGTCTGAGGCTGGATTTGAACTCAGGTCCTCCTGACTCCAAGGCCGGTGCTCTATCCATTGTGCCACCTAGCTGCCCCAGATCTCCCAACATTTTGTACGTTTCTTAGGCACTTCTAATTTTATCATATTTATCTGTTTATGTACTTTATCGTGCAAAGCTCCTTGAGGAAAACAGACTTGTTTTTATCTAAACTTTGAATTAAGTCCATGAGCATGCTGAGCATAGATAGGATCATAGATTTAGAGGTGGAAGGTATCTCAGAACCCTTTTAGCTTCATTCCCCTCCCTTACAGACAAGGAAGTAGAGGTCCAGAAAGTTAACTGACTTGCTCGGGGCATTGTACTACACTGTCTGCCTTAAATGTCATAGCAGGCACTTATAATTTTACCTCTCTAGGACCCATGTGGAAAAATGGGTTGGGGGCTGGACTAAATAAATAGTGTTTAAGATCCCTTTCCAGCTTTAACATTTCATAGTCTATCATCTCAAAAGTATTCTTAATTTAAAAATTAAATTTACTTCCACAACAGGTCAAAAAGGGCTTACTTGCAGGGCAGAATTCGGACGATATCATTTTGCTTGTAGCTCTCTATGCACACAGCACAGTGATCAAAGTCTGGGTCTGTTTCCTGAAACAAATAGCACAACAGCAATAAATAAGGTGCCGAAATTACATTAGCAATGAAAGTGACATGGTTATTAGCAGACTTAGGATTCTCTAGTGGCTATAAAATATGCAAGTTGGTTATGAAACAAGATGCTATAAAAAAGGATCACAACCACCATTCCTTCACCATCAATTTTTTTCTAAATAATTTTCTCCATTTATTGGTTCTACTTTCTTAAACAATCTCAACTCCTTTAACCCTTGTTGTCTGGCTTCTGCTTCCATCATGGTAACAAAACTGCTCTCTAGAACACCAATACCACTTTAATATCAAATCTACTGAATTTCTCTCAGTCTTCACCTTCAACAACACCACTACAGAACCTGATACTATCAACCATTCTACTAACCCCTGCTTTGGCTGCACTTTCTTGGTGGTTCTAATTTCCTGACTGCTTTTTCCTCTATTTACTTCATCAGTACCTCCTCCTGTTCCCACCCCATAGATGTAGGTGTTTTCTAAAGTTTTAGGACTTCTTTCCAATTCTCTCCCATTTCTATAGCTTCAACTGTTACTTTTCTGTGAATAACTTCCAAATTGATATCTCTAGTACTGACCACATTCTCAGATTAATATTTACAACTACTTACTAGATGCTTTCACTTGGGTTTCCTACCAGCATTTACTCTACTTATCTAAAACTAAACACTAGACCATTAACTAACTTTTCCACAAATTAATTTCTTTAACTGAAATTTCTACTTTTATTACTGGCACCATGATTCTCTTTGTCAACCAGATTTGAAATAATCTTTGATCTTTCTTTATGCCTCTTTTCAACCATTCAACCAATCACCAAGCCTATCAATGCTTTCCCATTCCTTCCTATTGATTCCTCCCAACACCACCATCCTCACTTCATACCTGAGATGGGACCAAGAAAAGAGGCAGAGAGGGCCTGACTATTCCCCATAAAATGCAGCCTGGCTGACTGGCTACAAATCTGTCTGTTCTAATCATCCATTCAGCATGGGTTCTTGTTCTGTCAAACAAGATTGCCTTGGGGAGCAGTAAAAGATGGCACATATTTGTGAAGAGACAGATGGAGAGAAATACTGTTGGTAGAAGATCACAGAGTCTCAGAGTTGAAAGAGACACTATCTACCCCCATTTCCATCTCTTGCTCTGGGCACAGTTATCAAATCAATAAAGCCACTGATTCTGGAAACGGTATGTCAATCAGCCACCTTATGGATCAACTCACCATCTCTGTGACTTCTCATTCCAAAATTCCCTTACCTGGCTTTCACATTCTCTTTTATGTGTTGCCTCTCCCTATTAGAATATAAACTCCTAGTTTACTGTACACAGTAACAGCAATATTTGTGATGATAATCAATTGAGAAAGACATAGCTACTCTGATCAATACAATGATCAATAACCATTTCAAAGAACTCATGATGAAAGATGCTATTTATCTCCCAAAAGAAAAGTGATGAACTCTGAGTGCAAACTGAAGCATATTTTTTACCTGATTTTTCTTGCACTATTTATTCACTCATTTATTTATTTGTTCATTTATTTGTGTATCTACTGTAGTGTGGGTAGCATGGAAATATGTTCTGCATGATTTGATATGTATAATGGGCAGTGTATTTTTTACCTACTCAATGGGTGGGGAAGGGGTGAAAGGAGGGAAAAAGTTTGGATCTGAAAATAAAAATTAAACAACTAAAAAAAAAAGAATATAAACTCCTTGAAGGTAGGAACTATTTCATTTTTTGTATGTGTATTCCCAGCACTTAGTACAGTACCTAGCATACAATGCTTAATTAAAGCTTTATTTTTTGTTCATTTATTAATGTCCTCCCTCAGACTTTTCTTTTCCAGGATAAACATCCCTAGATCTTTCAATAAATATGACACGCCAGCATTTGATATGTTCTCTGGTCTTCTCACCATTTTGGTTTACCTTCTTCTGTATATGCTTCATTTTGTCAATGTTATTCCTAAAATGTAGCACCCAGAATTGAACTTCAGGTATGGTCTGAAGAGTGGAGGTTACAGCTGCCTGAGCTACCTCAGAAACTTACAGTAATCTGTACATGGTAGATATTTATTTCGTCAGAGAAAAACAATGTTTTCCAGAAAGAGGCAAATATAAGGTATAGACATTTGAATAGCAACACTCAAAACTACAGAAACATAGATTCGTAGATTTAGAGCTGGAAGAGACCTCTTAAACCCTTTAAACCAATCCTCTTAGCTTATTGATTTTTTTTTCAAATAACAAGGCATTTATTTATTTCTCCCTCCTACCTCCTACTGTTTTAATGGAAAAACAAAATCAAACCCTTAAAAGGAATATACATATTTAGGTAAAACAAATTCCAGCACTGGCCAAGTCCAAAAACATCTCATTCTACATATTGAATCTAACAAAGACCAAACCAACCCTCCCCTCTGCCAAGAATAATAAAGCAAAAAAAAGTATGCTGTCAAGAGGTAGGTAGCACAGATCCTTTCTGGAATTGCAGTTAATCATAGCACTGATCAGAGTTCTTAAGTCTTTCATAGTTTGACTTGACAATATTATTGTTATGAAAATGATTCTTTTAGTTCTATTCACTTAATTCCTTATTGGATTATACAAATTTGTAAAAATTTAATTACATTTATTTTCTCTTCCTCCACCCTACTCCCCATACATAGTCAAATGAATCCAATCCATTCACTGGCCATGTCAAAAAAGTATGGACTTTGAATCCATCATCTTTCTCTCAGGAGGTGGGCACTGTACTTCGGCTCTAGAATTGCCATTTGTTATAGCATTGATCAGGGTTCCAAAGTTTTTCAAAGGTTTTTTTCCCCTTAAATTACGTTGCCATCACTGCATAAATTGTTCTCTTGTCTCTGCTCACTTCCCTCTGCACTTGTTCACGCAGGTCTTCTGTTTCCTTTAAATGGCCCATGACTCATTTCTTACAGAACAACAATATTCTCTGTTATATTCACATGCTGTAGTTTGTTTAACCATTTTCCAGTAGGTGGGCACCCCCTTTGATTTCCAGTTTTTTACTACATAAAAAGATCTGACATAAAATTTGTACAATGGGTCCTTTTCCTGTTTCTTTTATATTTTGGGGGTATAGGCCTAGTAGTAGTATAGTAGGTCAAAGAGTTTAGTGACTTTTGGGTCATAGTTCCAGAATAAATGGAACAAATCACAATTCCATCAACAGTGCTTCAGTGTGCATGTTTTCCTATAGCCTCTCCAATGTTCATCATTTTCTTTTTATGATTTAATTAAAATTTAATTTTTTCTCAATTACATGCAAACAAACATTTTTAACATTTGTTTTTTTAAAATTTTGAATTCCAGGGACAGCTAGGTGGCGCAGTGAATAGAGCACCGGCCCTGAAGTCAGGAGGACCTGAGTTCAAATCTGACCTCAGACCAAACACTTGACACTTACTAGCTGTGTGACTTTGGGCACTTAATCCCAATAGCCTAAAAAACAAAAACAAAAAAAATTTTGAATTCCAAATTTTCTCCCTCCATCAGCTTCCCTCTCCTTGGGAAGGTACGCAACCTGATACAGATTATATATGTATCGTTACACAAAACATTTCCATAAAAGCTATGCTGCAAAAGAAAACAAAGACCAAAAAACCTCCCAAGAATAACAAAGCAAAAAAAAATATGCTTCAATTTGCATTCACATGCCATCAGTTCTTTCTCTGGAGGTGGACAGCATTTTTCATCCCAAGTCCTTCGGAACTGTTCTCTATCATTGTATTGTTGAGAATAGCTAAGTCATTCATAGCTGATCATCATGCAATATTGCTGTTACTGTATACACCATTCTCTGGTTCTGCTCATTTCACTTTGCATCAGTTCATGTAAGTCTTCCCAGGTTTTTCTGAAAGCATTCTGCTCGTCATTTCTTATAGCACAATAATATTCCATCACAATCATACACCACAACTTGCTCAGCCATTCCCCTATATTTACCATTTTTGCCAATCTGATAGGTGTGAGTCGAACCTCAAAGTTGCTTCAATTTGCAGATTTTTTTTTTTTTTTTGCTTTTTTGGTGAGGCAATTGAGGTTAAGTGACTTGCCCAGGGTCACACAGCTAGTAAGTGTCAAGTGTCTGAGGCTGCATTTGAACCAGAATTTCTTTAAAGATGAAGAAACTCAGGTCCAGGGAGGCTAAGTGGCTTGCCGAAGGTCACAAAAGGCAGAATTTACACCCAAGTCCTCTGAATCAAGAGCCAGTGTGTATTCCAATATACTACGCTACCTTCTTGTTGAGCCCTATCGAGGCTAGCCTTGAGGATCAATTGTCCAATTCATAGTTTATAGGAGCATGGAAACTGAGGCCCAGAGGAGTGAAGGGACTTACCCAAAGCCATAGAGACAGAAAGTGCCAGAACCAGGATCGGAAGTAATAAAATGTTATTAATTTGAGTTACAAGGGAAAACAGTCTGAATTAATCTGAATTACAGAATATGATTGGCAAGAAATGAATTTTTTTTTAACTTTCAAATTCATATAGTAAAGTGAAAGCAATGAGAAATTCTTGGGGGAGAATATACTTTAATGAATGGATGAGAATGAATTGTCTACACATAATGGGTACCTTTTGAGTATTTGGAAATAATTTTCCCTACTAAAGTGGGAGATATCTATTTCAAATTTGTGTACAGTGTCCCTTTAGAAGATATTTCTTCCAAATTGAGATAAGGTTGTGACCTCAAATCAACCCAGTCTGAATTACTCAATTTAATAAATTAAATGTCTTTAATTTGACAGGCACTGGGTACTGGGGATAGAAAGACTCCAAATAAATTAAGAATGCTGTATTCTTATTAGCTTTCACTCATAGAAGCTATGACAAGTTATTATGACAAATTTTGTTTAAAATTAAACTCTGAAGTCTTAAGTAAAATTATAAAACGAAGAAATATTTGGAATACGTCCAAATACACTATACATAATGAAGAATAAAAATGGTACATTTCTTTATAGATTTCAATGTCCCAAGAGCTTACACACACACACACACACACACACACACACATTATGTAACAAGCTCAGTCTGCAATTAAGAATTTTGGTATAAATTGACATTAAGAACAATTGCGAGCAGAGGAAGAGGAAGTACAAGGTATAATACATCACAGCACTAACAGTACAGGATAAGTATTTCTATATTTCAAAATAATTCTCTTTTCACATGTAGTATACTTGTACTCCACATATGTTAAGCCACATTATTGAGGAACACAAGTGGCTTTTTTTAAGGAGGAAAAATTAAAATAGTCAAATTAACAGTTTAATTAAAATTAAAATAGAAATTAATGGCATATTTTAAACTTTAGGTTAACAAATTAAAATAATGATCAGACTATAATCTAAGACTCGAGACCTCTTCTTTCAGTAAGGTTTCCATTATATCCTTTTATACTGAATCCCCTCAGCATAAATATATGATATAAACTAAATGTGTATTTATATACTACCTTAAAATGGATCTCTAGATTTTCCATGCATAATGACTACAAAACAATGAGCACATTTTTCACCCTATCGAGGACATAATGGATAGTACTAGGTCTGCAGTCAAGACCACCTGGGTTCAAATCCCATCGCTCATGCTTAGTGGTTGTGTTCCGTGGCCGAGTCATTTAACTTTGCTGAGCCTCAGTTGCCTCATCTGTAGAATCTAGAGAGTGGTATAATGGATGATTTATTTCTTCCTTCACAGGATTGTTGCAAGGGTAAATGACTATACATGTAAAACATTTTATAAGAAAAGCATGATATAATATTAGATGTTACAATCATCCCCCCATCTAGAGCGTAAGTTTCTTAAGAATACTAGTTTTGATGTTCCTTATATCATACCTTCCCAGATGATGCATATACAGTTAGACTAAAAGATCACTGAATTGCATTTTCTAACTTAAATTCCTGACAAAAAGACCCTTTTCTGATTTTGAACCAGGTTGCGTCATGGAAATCACTCTGTGATAACGAATTTTTCTATTTTAAAGATTTGTGGATAAAATGGATATCTGGTTATAACAAATCCTACTGCTCTTTATGACCAGCCTATTGCAGAAGAGCATCAAGATGCAGCCATCTTGTGGGACTATGTTATTCTTTATAATGTCATCATCTACAAATACATGCTTTCACAATGAAATGCTTCATTGTAGCCAGGGCCTTCTAACTTTCTGTCCCCTCCTCCACTCCACTGCCACCTCTCCAAAATTTTGTCTTCTGCCTTACGACCTAAACTCACCCTTCTCCTTTCTATTCCCAGAAATTCTTTGACCTTCCACCCCTTCTAGACTTCTGGAATACAGCATGATATAGAAGAAAAGAGTGATGGATCTGGGAATCAGATGATTTGACTATTTGAATCCTGGCTCTACTTTGACCACTGGGAAAGTCAATTATTTTCTCTGGGCCTCAGTTCCTCATCTCCATAATTAGGAGGTTGAACTAGATGACCCCTTTCAGGTCTAAATCTGTGATGAAGTTAGACATGTTTGATTCCCCATATCAACAAAGGAATGGTCTTTGTTAATAGTGAACATACACTTGGGCTAGATCAAATCAACAATTTTTAGGGGGATTGGAAGCTAATGTATTTACTGTGGTACATTTAATGGATTATGGGTAATTTCTGCATATTTTTTGATATTGGAATTTAACCTTTGCAACTATAACTTTGATACTGTTCTTTGAGTGAAGAACGCAGAAGGCCTTCAGTTGTGTATTTACCTCCCTGGGCTTAAGTGAGCAAACTAGGAACTTGGTTTACTTAAGTGTACCTGTAATGAAATCCACCCTTAGGCTCTCCTACCTAGCCCAGACTTGAAGAATGTTTAAGTAGTTCCCTCCTTTCAATGGTAGCAGGGAAAAAGATTATAACATAAGCTCTGACATGGTTTAAAGCAAGCAGGAAGAGAATTAAGTTCTCCTATCTGCCCAACAATTCTACTGTTATAATTATTTTAAAAAGAATATCAAACTTTAGCAGAAGGAAAGCCAACTCTACTTGGGAAAAAAAAAAAAGGAGTCAGAGAAGAGTTCAAATCTGGCCTCAGACAATTATCAGCTGTGTCACCCCAGGGCAAGTCACTTAGTTTGCCTCAGTTCCTTCATTTGTAAAATGAGCTGCAGAAGGAAATGGCAAATTACTCCAGTATTTTTATCAAGAAAAATCCAAATCAGGTCATGAAGAGTCAGATATGTCTGAAAAACAACTGAACAGCAACAACAAAATGGCAAGAGAATTAATCCTCTGGGAGAGCTAGAGACTTCTATGAAAAGTTTCTGAATGACACAATGGAGCCAAGACTTGAAAGGGATATGGAAAGGATATATTATATCTTTAAAAATTATAATAAATCAAACTCAAACCATAACAGAAGTATTTTTGCATACTAAAACAAAACTTAATTTTCATTTATTATATGACATTATAAAATTCCTTCATTTCATACCTTATCACCCTTCTTTACTGTTCTTGTTGTCAATTTGCTGATGGCTTTCTTGGCTGCATCTCCAAGGCGACGCTATAAAAATTGAAAAGAAAAGGCAGGTATTAAAATGTTAAGGCTTCAAACGATTTTTTCTTTTAAATAATTTAATTTGTTCAGGTACTAATATCCTGCCTCTTTCTCTCTGCCACATCATTCAGGTCTCAGAGTAGAAGATTCCTAAAAGAGTTTCAAATTTAGAAATGGGCAACAGCCAGAGTCTAGGAGTCAGATGAAGACAGACAGCAGCTGTGGCAGAACATCATTTATCCAGCACTGCTGTGACAGCAGACATCCCAAAGAAGTCAATTATTAAGAGAATCAAGTGTCAAGAGTTACCACTACATACATGTCTGTCTGGATTTTTTTGGATTCAAAATACCATGCCATGTAAAATATTTTTTTTGATATTATAAGAACTGCTAACACTATCCTAAACTCCATAAATTTTATTTACTTTCACTGCAAAATGGTAACACTAAGCACTATTATATAAATAAACCTTGTTTTAATAAAATGAAATTCCTAACACTCAGATTCTTTCCCATTGGAAACTACCCTCACTCTACGATTTCTAAAAACCATATGAGCCCTTTCTCTCTTTTTTTAAGGCAATTGGGGTTAAGTGACTTGCCCAGGGTCACACAGTGAGTAAGTGTCAAGTGTTTGTTCTGAGACTGGATGTGAACTCAGGTCCTCCTGACTTCAGGGCCGGTGATCTATCCACTGCGTCACCTAGCTGCCCCGAGCCTTTTCTCTAACAACGTTCTTTTCAATCCTTCAAGATGCAGTGGGCACATCAATCATTCTCATCTAAACAATCATACTTGTTTTAATTTTCTGTAGTACTATTCTCTCCTGGGTTTCTTTCCTATTTTTCTAATCTTTTTTTTTTGTCAGTTTCTTACGAACCTTATACATTGGATGTTGTCCAGGAGCCTTTATACCATTCCTTCTGAAAGAGGTCATCTACTCTTGTGGGTTTAACTATCTTTATGCAGATAACCTCTCTAACTTGAAATTTACTTTCTAATTTGAAAATACTATCAAATAGATATTCTATTATATATCAGAAACTCCTGACTCTGCTCTCTAAGGCACTGCTTTATGCTCCTCCCTTCTCCATATTTCTCCTATACTCCTATCCTCACATAGAATCCATTTTTTCCTTCTTCTTTTTCTGAGCTAAACTCATCACTCACAGACCACTCTGTCTCTTGACTTCTTCTGCCATTCCATATATCGCCAGGGAAGCTTCCCTGATCAATTCAGACATGATTCTATTGTACCTAACCTACTCCTTTTAGGTGTATATAACAATTATTTTTCTTCTAAGTATTTATTCTACACATCTATTTCTACTCTGATAATAATAGCTAGCATTTATATAATGCTTCAAGGTTTGCAAAGTACTTTATAAATATTGCTTTATTTCTCACAACAATCCTGGTAAATAGTAATAAGTATTATTACTATCTTCATTTTACAAATGGAGAAATTGAGGCAAAGAGAGGTTAAATGACTTAAACAGGGTCACACAGCTAGTGAGTGTCTAAGGCCGGATTTGAACTCAGGTTTTCCTGACTCTACATCCAGCACTCTATCCATTATGCCACTTAGTTGTCTATATTTGTCTATATTGTTTTTGTGCTAGAAGAACATTAGTTTCTCAATTGCCTGGATCACAACTACACAACTATACAAAGGAAATTAATTAGGCTTTCATAGAATTGAATAAATTCAAAAAGGAGAAATATAGACTAAGTATCCTGATGAACAGAACATTTTCAGTCAAGGGGATCAAAAAAGGCTATTTAGAAAAGGTAGCATCTATGCCAAGTGTTGATGGAAGATAAGGAATTTTTAAGGAAGCAATTACATTCCAAATTCTGGGAGACATATTGTAGAAATACAGGATGCCAGTGATGACATGTCTAGTTTGTGGAACAGCTAGTAGTATACAATTTGACTGAAATAGATTATATGAGGGAGAAGAACATGAAATAAAAGTGGAGAGGTAGGCTGATGTTAAGTCTAGCACTTTAGAAAGGGGTGGGGAACCTGTGGCCTCAAGGCCATATGTGGTCCTTTAGGTCCTCAAGCACGGTCCTTTGAATCCAAACTTCACAGAACAAAGGGCCGCACTTAAATAAAGACTAATAAATAGAGTAATAAATTTAGGATCTTAAATAAGAAGCTTTTATTTTATACATGAGGTAATTGAGAGCCAATGAAGATATTTGAGCATGGGAAGGGCATGGTGCCTTAGGAAAGTAATTTTGGAAGCTATGTAAACGACGGTTTGGAGAGACACTGAAGGAAGATCAATGAGGGGGCTGTTATAACAATGTGGGTGAGAGTTTATAAGAGTCTAAACTACAATAATATCAACTGGAGTAGAGAGATAGGGATGGATGCATGGGATATCATGAAGGTGGAATCTCAAGTGCTTACCAAATGACTGGCTACAGTGGGATGAGAGAGGGATGAATCAAAGGTAACTTAGGTTTTACCCCAGATGGAGATATTATCAACAATAAATGCTGAGTACTGTAATGTTGGCAAAATTTGCAAGCTATGCAGTTGGAGCTGTCCAGCACGCAACCAAAGTAGCAGGAGTAGTTTGGGGGCAGGGATCTTACACACACACACACACACACACACACATACACATGCACATACACACACTCACACCCCTCAGAGTCACCTTGTAGAGATGATAATGGAACTTATGAAAGAAGGTAAGATTACCAAAGTGGAGAGAGAAGAGGACAGGGCTCTGGGGGACATACATTTTTAAAGGGATGATATAGGTGATGGCCCTGGGACATGCCCACTCCTGATAGGGATATGAGACTCCCTGGAACACCCTTTCTCTTGTTCAGGCCTGCCATGAAGTGGGCTTCCTGAGCCTCCTCACCCAGGACACAGATACATTGGCTATCATGAAGTTAGAACCTTGAATCTTCTAATACCTGCCTTCTTTTAGTCAAATTCTCCTTATCCGCTGATACTTTGCTTAGACTTAACTCCTCATAGTTATGCTCTTATCCCTCCCTCCCCATCCCAGTGATACTAAGCCCCAACTGCCAAAGAATTCCACTCCCTAACTCTTGCTATCTGTTCTCTCATTCCTGTTCCCCACAACCGTTGACAGTGTTCCACTACAGTTTTGCTCACCCCTCGCACTGGGCCCTCTAGAATGCCTGCTCAACAATTAAACTTCCTCTCATGCTGAACCTCATTCTTGCTCCTTCCATCTTCTGTCACTCAATAATACCTGGCTCCCTCTGGAGGACACTACTTCTCTAGCAATCCTTTCCAGGAAGGGATGTACTTTCTCTCATAGCCATGAACTCATTAATTATGGTAGGGGAGTCAGGATACTCCGTGCTCATCATCGTACTTCCATACACTTCTACCACTATTGTTCAGTGATCTCTTTCATGGGGTTCACTGAGGTTCCTGCTATCTAAATTTACCTTCCAGTCTAGAGGCTGGTGGCCATTATCAATTGACAACCACCATCCTCTCCATAATGCCCCCCTACCCCAGAAATTCTTCCTTATTTATCTCAATTCTTGCCATAATACTAGGGGTGCTTCAAATATCCTAACTTCCTGGTTTCTCAATCTACTCAACTCTTATAACCTCCATTTCACCTCCACTCCACAGAAGGATGATACCACCATCACCCAAAAGTGTTCCACTTCTATGTTCAAAAACTTCAAAATTCCTTTATGTAATCATAATCTTTTATCATTCCATCTTTTTTTTTGTGTGTGTGTTGGGCCCCTAAACCTGTTCTTTATATTCACCATGACCTTCAAACTCTTTACCTCTTAGTACTTTCCCAGACATTCCTGTACTGGCTATATTCCCCTCCTTCCCAACCCTGATATCAACACCAGTTTAACTCTACAGTATGTTCTACCCTTGAATTCCTTACCAATCTTCTTGCCAAATCTTAATTCTGAATTACTCCCATTATCCACATCCTTTGCTCCTACTTACATATAGCTAAGTGAAGTTACAAAACCATGCTGACTGGGTCCATGGATCTTTGCAAGATTTATGTTATCTAATCTCAACTGGGCCCTCAGTGGTAAAAGGAAATGCTTCATTTCCCTTCTTAACCAATCCTCTATACCATTCACTTAAGCAGCTGTTCCAAACCTTCTCTTTTCTACTTGAGCCTTTCCCAGGCCTCTCAAAGAGGACCATGTTTTATATTTCACTCCCCCCACCCCAAAATTATGATACTATAGACAAGATCCAAGAGTTCTCTCTCTTCTACCTTTCTCCTTCATCTCATATTCCTTTGGCCCAATCCCCTACTCATTCCTCCTTCATTTCAGTCTCTGATGAAGTGGCCCTAATCCCTGTCAATGCCAACCTCTCTACATGTACCCTTGATACAATCTTCTTCTGCTTTTTCTAGCAGACTGCCCCCACTCTTTCTCTAATCTTCAATCTTTCCTTAGCCGTTGTCTTTTTCCTTATGGCCTATAAACATGCCCATGTTTCCTTTCTTAAAAACACCCTCACTAGATCCTGCCATTTCCACTAGCTATCAACCTATATCTTTCTTTGCAATCAAATATACTTTTTCATGCCACAAGTAAAAATCAAACTGAAAATATAAATGTAGGAGAGGAGTCTTTGGGTATTTATAATAAATTATTATCATTTTATCAACAAATGTTTTGATGCTATCTATTATATATGAGGGGCAACTAGGTGGTGCAGTGGATGGGCCTGGAGTCAGGAAGACCTATCTTTGTGAATTCATATCTAGTCTCAGACACTTACTAGCTGTATAACCCTGGGCAAGTCACTTAACCCTGTCTGCCTCAGGTCCATTTCTATAAAATGAGCTGGAAAAGGAAATGGCAAACCACTCCAGCATCTTCGTCAAAGAAACCCCAAATAAGGTCATGAAGAGTCAGGCATGACTGAAAAAAGACTAAATAACAACACTACATATATAAGACTCTGGGTGGGAAGAGGGTGGGTACAAAGACAAAGGCAGGGAC